TCATAGATCATAGCACCAAAACACACACACACTCATAAAAGCACATTGATGCTGTTATTAGCTAAAAGTGTTTGAAAAGAACTTTGCTATGCTGTTTAAACTCATAGTCAATACACTGGCTGCACTGAGATGGACGTGCGTGTGTGTATGTGTGTGTTTGTGCATGTGAGTGAGTTTGTATAAGAGCGTTGGTAAGACAGATAAACAGTGACTGTGAGGGCATGTCTGTACCTGTATTTTTCTTACAACAACTTTAAGATATTATTTTGAAGTGTTTGTTTACTCATGTATGCACATTATATGTGTGGGTGCAATTTAGTGTGTGTCTGTGTGCATTAGATAATGTGATCTTTGCTAATGCAGTCCATGGAGATATACAAACAGACACACACTTTATCTCTCCAGGTTGCCTGTCCTGAGGGGACACCATGTCATCCTACACCGACAGGGGTGTGCCTCAACTGTCTCCCTTAGCGACAGTCCAGTTGCCTTGGTGATGTCGCTGGGATGATTATCTAACGCCCACCCTCAGTGTCAGCACAGCACAGCGACAGCATCAGGGGTGTTGGCAACTCTTGCCATCACATACACACTCATAGAGATTCAAAATCTGAGTTCCTGTGCCTTGACAGGCTGCCAGCTCAGTCCAAAATAAACTTCTTTCAAAGACAACCCGACATCACAATAGCATAAATAGCATAAATAATTCAACAACATGAGCATGAATAACTCTCACCTAAATGAGGATCCCTTCACAGTTCTTCACTTTCTGCAACTGACAGGAGTGTCCTGCATGAGTGTATGTGTGTGTGTGCATGTGAGCAAATGTGCACCCACGTGTTTGCACATTTCCATTCATGTTCATGTTTGCACCTGCATCTATGTCTGCGTGTGCAGATATAATCCCTGTAACCTTTCATGTTTGTTTTTTTGGTGAGGAAAACTGTTGTGCCTAAATCCTACCACCTTGTGGACTTCCCAAAAAGAGGTGACACCGGCATCAACCTGGTTTACACCATAATCCATGGGCTTTATAAAACCATTACCTCGCCTGCTTCTCTGTTAATAACACCGATCCCACACCAAGAAGACTCTTTCCTTCTTGGACCACAGTGTTGGGACAGACACAACCTTGCCGGGAACAACTCAGTCAGACGGAGCCACACTCGCAATACAGAACTTCTGTAAGAATGCTGGGAAATGTTTAGCTACCTCAGAAGAAAATGTCAACATTGAGGGATGTACAGACACTTTAACCAACTAGATAAGCAAATGTGTAGAGGATGTCACTGTCATCTTGACTCACAGCAAAGGTGTGTGTACAACTGAAAACCATGGAGACTGCTTTTAAAGTGGGTAATGAAGCAGAACTCAGGACTGCGAGTGTAAATCTGTCTAGGATGATCTGGAAGATAAAATGGACCCAAGCACAGAAAATACACTACCTTTTCTGTAACACAGGAGACACCTGGTGTATGTGGCAGGGTCTCCTCTCTGGCCACAAACTAACCCTGCAGGCCGACAACAGCCATAGAATGCTTGCTGATAGGCTTAGCAACTTTTATGCACACTTTGAGGATCTCAACAACCGTCCTCCAAGCAAGAAACTTGCTCAGACAGATGAACAAGCACTCTGTCTAATCACAGCTGAAGTGAGGAGCACTCTTCCTAGAGTGAAGCCTCACAAAGCAATGGGTGCCGACAACATTGTAGGTTGCGTTCTCAGAGGATGCCAAACCAGCTGGCAAATCTGCTAACAATCTTTAACATCTCCCTGCATCAGGCCCCCCCGATGTCTGCCACCATCATTCCTATTCCCAAGAAATCCGCGTTGACATGTCTTAATGATTGTCGCCCAATAGCACTGACTTCCACTGTCATGAAACTCTTGGAGCGTGTGGTATCCAGATGTAAAACCAGCACACACAACCCCTTCAGTCTACATTCGAACCTAACCGAGCCACAGAGGATGCCATCTCCATTGTGCTCCACACTTTGCTAACACAAAAGACACACCTATGTGCTTTTAGGGCTTAAGCTTTGCTGTTAATACCACCATCTCACCAAAGCTGTTTGAACAGATGAAACTACTCAGCTTCAACAACCTCCTGTGTGATGTGATTTTGGACTTTCTGACTGATAGACCACAGGCTGTCAAAGTCAGCAACCTCGGGCATCATTAGACTGAGCATTACCTCCCCCACGGGCTCTTGTTCAGTCCTTTCACTCTTCACTTTGATGACCCCTGTTGTGCACGTATAACTTGAATATGATTATTAAGCTTGCCAATGATACATCTATGATAGGTGATGTGGTGAAATACTATGGTCAAGTATTTTTCAGTCCAAATACTTACATTTTGGTACTTGTTGATATGGAATACTGATAAGAATCTTTTATAATAATGCAATTTTTCTACCATAAACATCACCATTACCATAAAAACATCTAAAGACCACACTTGCTTTAACTTGTGCTGCAGTTTACCAACTACTTTTCACGTAGTAAGACCTGCTGGGAAGTTAAATTCACATGAATCTACTATGCTGTGAAGCCAATGAGAAACAATAGGCAGACACTGCTCATCCAAATATAAGTACTGAGGCAGAAGAATGTGCTTTATCATTTGGTAAGATGGTTTCTTTACGATTTTAATGGCTTAAAATCTCACACCTGGACCTCAGAAAACCAAAGAGGCAACTGAGTCCTGAACTATCGTAGATAAATGACATTACTGTCTTGGGTTGTCTCTAAACATTTACTCTCTTTTCCAGTGTATGCTGCAAAGTCAGTTGTTGCTGCCTTCTGCTGCTAGCATTAGCAAACACTTTGAACATCATAGTTTTGTGTTGCGTGGGCTGACAAATCAACAACAAATCAACTCTACCTCTTGATAATTTAGTGGAACAGAGCCAGCAGTCTGCTTTAGCGTTAGCCATATTTACTTACATTAAAATATCTCCAAAACCATTTAATAATGCTGCAAAGTGATATTGAGTGTGTTGTGCAGGAGTTTTGCTTACATGAGTATTGTACATGAGCATGCCATCTGACCCAATACCAATTATGTATCAGTGGGTCCCACAGAATAACAAATCTGCTTAGAAAACCAAAGACATGTTGGTAGATTTCAAACTACCCAGGCCTGTACACACTGGCAACTCCACAGTGAAGAGAGTGGCCATTACTTGAGGACCTTGGCCATCACCTTCCACAGTTCTAGTTGGTCCTTCAGCCCCTGGTACTTCTCAAGCTTTTTGTGCTCTTTTCTCCTGATGTTACTGTCAACTTAGATTGCCACATTTATCACAACTGTCCTGCTCTGCTCCTTGTCAACCACCACTATGTCTGTTTAGTTAGCCAGCAGCTGCTTGTCGGTCTGGAGCTTGAGGTCCCACAGGATCTTATATATTGTTCTCAGCCACTTTTGGTGGTGTGTCCTGTCGGGACTAGGGGACTTTTAGTGTGTACTCAACACAGATGTTCCTGTACATTATCCCACTCACTTGGCTGTGCCTCTCGGTGTACACTGTCCCAGTTTGCATCTTGCATCCTGTAGCTATATGCTGGACTGTCTCAAGGGCCTCTTTGCACAGTCTGCACCTGATGTCCTGTCTGCTATGGTAGACAGCTGCCTCCATGGATCTGGTGCTCAGGGCCTGTTCTTGTGCTGCCATGATCAAGGCTTCTGTGCTGTCCTTCAGGTTGGCCTTTTCTAGCCACTGGTATGATTTCTTGAATGCTTTGTTTCGTCCTGGATTGTGGCTCTGACACTCACAATTTTTATGACTATTGCTGCACAGTTTTTCTGTGTTAATGTCCATGTTAATGAATCAACCGCAGACTTGTCTTTTATGTTTTTCTTGAGGGCCTCTGTGCATTTCCTATTTATTTATTTATTTTTGGCCATTTCGCACTGTTATTTGTTTTTAAGTGTATACATTTTGATTTATAGTTAACAGCTGTATAAGCTGACTGTAAATGTCCTTGTATCCAGTATCCTGAAAAGGCCTCAGTTGTCTTCAATGACGAGGAAGAAAAACATCTTCGTTATTAGACTACATTATGCTTTGTGAAATTTTAGTAATAATTTATGTTGGAAAAGCCAAAGTTTTTGTTGATCTAAACGCACATGGTAGTGTTTTTCCTCGCTGTTCTGAGTCCCAAAACAACAAATGGGCCATGTTGTGATAAACATTGAACATCTGTTCTGTTTATTGGAACCAAATGATTTTACAAGTAATTTATTTATTTTGACAGTTTGAAGGTGAGAAACTTGGTGATGAGTGGGAATGTAGTTATGTGGGGCTGTTGTACCTTTTTCATACTTACTTATACAGCTTTTCCCCTCACATTCCTTCTCTTTCTTCCTAAAGTCCAGAACTGTTATTAACATACTGACTCATCTTAAGCACTCTGACTTTTATTACATTTGGCCTGCTTTTCAAAAACACAGGAATGACGTGTTTGTATTTTGTTGCTAAATCAAGTAAAGTCAAATACAGCCTGAGAAGTATGAGGTTTTATTTATTAATATTTACAGTAAATGTGCACAAACAAACAATGTATCTTCTCCATATACTGTGCTTTACTGGTATACTATATACTGTGTGAACAGATATACCAAATCCCTCAGATACACAATAATTGGAATTTTTCAATAACAATGTCGCTCTTTGTTTGACATATGTGTCTGTGCCTGCGTTGCATTTTGGTGTTCATAAAGGACTGTGATTGTTATATTTTTGGCTGCTATACTCAAATCTTCTGATGGAGAATAAATATTAGAATGACTTCTGAATATAAAAGATAAATCAAATCAAGGACAGAAACAGATGTATTCACAGCTTCTCTTTTATTTTTTTTATTTTTTTTTTTAAAGAAATCAAAGCTGTGATACTGTTGATGAGCTATGCATGTCAAGTTCAAGGGAGTGGTATTTCAAGATTGCTAATTTGCAAAGAAAAACTCCCATTCTCTAACTTTGTCTGTCTCTGTAGACAATCAAGAAGGTTTAGATGGATGTCTGGACAATGTGGTTCTTTAAGCAGCAATTCTCCGACTAACAGCTCTATGAAGAACATGGAGAACAAACTCCAAAAGGTACAGAAACAGTCTACCAATTTGTCTTTGGATGCATGTATTATTTTTGAGTATAAACTTACTTTTCTGTTTGCGTTATCGTATTGACTCTGATTCAGTCACTAACCATGTTATTCACAAATGTCATTGATGGAAGATGATTATGGCATGGCCTGATTCTTTCCCTGAGAAGCTATTGCTTGTGAGTTATGACCTTAAGAGTCACCTGCACTGTAATAGCTGTCTCCTAATTACTGCTTTAAGGCATCTACTTACTGCATGCATCATGTGCCCTCAGTCATGAAAATATCCAAAGCATGCTATCACTCTTTTAATGCACAGTATATAGCGGATTAAAAACTGCTCTTTGCACCTTCCCGTTGATTTAAGAAATTAGCACCCTTAATCTCAGAGGAGAAGCTCTAAGGACTTTGAGTTTACGCTAGAAAAAAACATTTGGATTGTAAGTTTATAATGACCTTTAAACGTAGAATGGTTATCAAACATGCTGATTGTCTCTGAGAGGCAATAACCATAGACTAGTCTGTCTTAATTTAAAACTAAATCTTAATAATATAATGAATACACCATTTACCAATGCCAAAATGCGGTGCATTCAAAACATACCAACGAGAGACTTTAAGTTGTTGTGTTCAAGTCAGTTGATAAAACTAAAGAGAAAACTAAAGAGACATTATGTATTTATTTATTTGTACATAAAAATATTCTGGAATGTCAGAAGCAAATGAATGTTTTAATTCTGGTTCAACCTTGTGAAGCACTTTGTAACGTTTTTGAGAAGTGCTGGATAAATAAAGTTTATTTTTTATTATTATATTGTTATTATTAGTTATATATGAACACAGAGTGGTTCGCATTCTTACTTACACCTACATACAGTATACAAACACAAAATAAATGTGGAGGACTGTTTGTGAGCTGAGAGCTTACACAAACTATTGCTGCTGATTTGTAACTCTGTGTGCCTCCTCAACAGCTGTCAGCAGGCAAACTGAAGATTCGAGTGTTGAAGGACGAACCACCGACAGGTGAGAGGTTGACAGCCACAGCTTGAGATTCAAATATCAGAGACATGCATCAGGTAGACTTGACACAGATGTGTACTCCAAAACCCTTGACTTTGAACCCTTTACTGAAATTCTTTAAACCCTCCATGTCACCCTCAATAATCAAGGTCAGCTACAAAGCAGCACCTTGGGAACTGGTAGAGCTCCAGTGTCGTATTCATGGTTCCTTCAGTAAGGAGAATACTTGCAATCACAGGTGCCAGACTGACGGGTTCTCTAGTTAAAGACCGATCTCTCTAACCATTAACCAGCCTTGGCAGAATTATTAATGTTTTGAACATGCCCCAGGCAATAATTCACACCTTGAATCAAAATGTTTCAAAATGTGGTGGTGCGATGTGTTATACATAAACAGCAACTGTAAATGCAACTTTACAAGGACAGTCTTTGGTTTGTGTCATAATTATAACATGGGCTTTAGCCTTTAGCTTTTTTGTTATTTGCTATCATACATTCCACAGTAGTCCAGCTAGTTTTATTTATTTTTTCTTAAGCTTGTTATCTGTTAATGATTTTGGCAAAAAACCTGTAAAAAAAAATTAAAGATATGCTGTACATACTGTATTTTTGACACTGTCCTCATGCTTCTCTCTCTGTTTGTCAGTTGGACTATGCAGGTAGTCAATTACATAAATATTGTTTTAATGTCAATAATATTTAATTAGATCTTCCTGCCAAGTGTAAACAGCAGTGTGCATGCTCTTTTTAGCCTCACCTCTATCACCACCTCCGCTTCAACTCTCCACCAGTGGTCTTCGAAGAAAAAACAGACTGAAGGGAACAATCTGTGGACAGTGTGAAGTCAAGACAGCTGGACTAGTATGCACACAAAGACACACACACACACGCACCAACCATGCCAAAAACTGTGTACAACTCTAATAAGCGGCATGCTTTTTTAAAGGTCACTAATGAGACAAAAGGAAATTTTCTGGTTTCTTTTTTGCGGGATCAGATGTCACTAATTGACGAGTAATTTTTCCATCTCATAATTGTCTGAGCTCCAATAAAAGGTTTACGGTTTTATGGTTTTATAAATGATATCTTAAAGTGATCAGTACAAACACCCACCCACTTGGAAAGAAGTGCCAGGAGACAATTATCTTGCCCTGCATTCAGAGTTTAAATGTTGAATCTCTCATTTTCTATGTTGCTCTCCCTCCTCCCTTTTTTCTTTTTTTCTACCCTATTTTTCTATTGCTCTCCTTTTTTCCACTTTAATTTTTTTCTGTAGGTTTACTACCCTCTCTTCTGCTTTATATTTTATAATCTTTCTCTTCCTCCAGCATCTTCTACGAGCTCCCTCTGTCATTGAGATGCCCATTGTCTCCCGTCCTGTCTCCCTCGTCAATATGTGTTTACCAATCTTTTCTTTCTTCCTCACAACTTTTTTCCACTTTCACAAATTTTCCATCTGCCATATATATACCCATATTTCTGTCTTTCTTTCAGTATACTTATTTGTCCTTTTCTTTCCTCTCCATGCCTGTCTCTCGCTGTGCCTCAACTGTCCAATCTGTCGGTCTATCCTTGTGTTTGTGTTTGCACTGATAACAGTTTAGTTGGATCCATTCATCGATACTCGAGCCCTCTGAGGGCACCATTGTTTATTCTTTCGCGCTCTTCATCCACTGCTGCTCAGGAGGAGGGACCTGCAACTGTATGTGTGAATAATAGGGAGAGGGAGAGAAGTAAAAATCCCCACCGTGTGTGTGCGTGTGTGTGTGTGTGTATTTGTGTGTATGTGTGTATATAATGACTTGGCAAACTAAGCTGAGTAATGCCTGCTTGATGACCAGTTGCCTCTGCATCCCCACCTCCTAAATTCTCAGCTAGTTGTGTAATTTCTATCCTATGTTTCACTATGACGCCAGCCAACTTAAGTATTGAATAACTGATGTGTCTGAGAGACTGTGAGCCAGAAAATGAGAGCAATGGGGGTGAGAGAAAGAGAGACTTATAGAGGAAATAAAGGAGAAGGAGGGGTTGAACTGATGCAGCTGACACCCACCATTTTTCTGCCCCTTTTGTTGTGGAATAAGTTATTTAGGTGCAGCACAGAAAAATGCGTTAAAATGTAATGTGGTAATTTGCTTGATAGTGCATTTGATGATGATGGCGCTGAACTGTCCAATGAAGGACCCAATGCCCCCAGTGTCCCATAGTGATGGGCTTAATGGCAGTGCTTATAGTAGTCTGGGCAAGCACATAGGCTAAATGCACACACAAATACACACAATGCACTCATGCACACACACATTTTGGACAGCCCTCGTACCCTATAATGATGGCAATAATGGGAAGCGTTACAACTGTCTGCCATTCTGTCTGGAACTGCACTTAAACACACAAATGGTCACATGCACACACACACATGCAACCACACAATCACATCCACATCTGGGCTTATTTTAAACTATGACTCACACGTATTGGCACAGAATTTACCAAAATCACATGTGCACATACACACATACACATACACACATACACATACACACGCACTGCACACTGAGCCTTGTGCTATAGTGCTGTATTCTAGAGTCATTCAGGCAAAAAAAGTACCTCATTTCTTTCTGTGTAGCACAGAGAGTGCAGTGATATGCTGCTTGCAGCCTGATAGGGATGCCTAGTCCCTGGGGAGTGGCTGTAATTTATCCTTAGGCCTGAGAGGGGAAATGAGGCCCTGCTTTATGGGCGCATTAAAGGGCAATGTCGCAGTTGGAGGCTTGCGCGTGCATGCACACACACTCACACCGAGTGATATGTGTGGGAAAAAAACACATAATGAACACAATATTACACATAAATGGCTTAATTACAGTAATGCCTAATAAAGAAACTAAAAGGGGGGAGAAGATGAGATAAAAGAGTATAAAGAAAGAAGCAGGAATAATATGTGAATCTGCTGGTTGAAATTTGCACAGTTAGACGTGTAGTCATCTAGAACTTTGTATGGCACGGTGAGTTGTTTTTTTTTTTTATTGCATTGCCTTGTTTTTCTTAATTATCTATTAGAGTAAGGAGTGAATAAACAGGTGAAGAAGTTGCAAATATGCAAGTAAGCAAAAAAGGAACCATGAAGGAAGGTTCCAGGTCATTAGATTCTGAAATATATCACATTGTGACAAAAAAACAAAACCAATAAAAACAAACAATTAAAGTCCCTCAAAGGATTAATAGAATTTGTATTGTTTCTTTAGGAAGTACGCTAAGCTATACTTTCTGGATCTGACATATTATTTGTGATGCAATCACAAGGAAAAAAACAACAACCGAGCTTGCAAGCCAAATGAGTGCGCCCAAATGAACTGTTTTTATTTTTTATTTTTACCGTTTGTTGTTACAAAGCTTTGGTCCTTTCCTCCATCCTGCCCTCCCTTCTTTGTGCCTGCACTCCTCCTGGCCTTGTCTGTGCGCTCTGTCCACCCGGTCTAGGCCTATCTCCCAAACCTGCTGATGGAAGGACTTTTCCTCACTAATAAGACCGGATTCATACAGATAGAAATGATAATGACCTCCCTTAAGATGCGTTCACTCACCCACACTCGCATACACAAAACACACACTGAGCACAAACGCATACGTGTTCACAGAAGCCGTCCTTTCAAAGCTCTCCCTCTCTTTCTCTCTCTCTCTCTC